ACTAACAAAGACTGGTGAAGGCCTCTGTCACCTGTAGGTAGAGTCCACAAGGGCAGCCAGTGGCCCAGAGGCCACGATGTTGTAGGCCATGCTCCCATCTTGAGGGAAATGTAAGCCCTTAAGAAGCTTGCTGTAGGCTTCCCGATCAGAAGAGCTAAAATTATCCATTTTATTTTATAAGAGTGCATGGCAAAAGGCTCCTTTATGTTTTTCTTCTGCCATGCCTGCTCATTTGTGGGACTGGCAGTTTTTAAATAAAGAGACCAGCATTTGACTAGTTATTTTTATCTGGACTGAGCCCTTTTAATTTGTCTCCCACTTCCCTCCCTCAGCTTCACACACCTGATCCTAAATAAAGACTCTAGACTCTGGGAGAACTTGAGTCAATTCCAGTCTCTGCTCTCAAATTCAAGTAATCGAGTCTCTTAAAGCAAGCTGCCACCTCCCCATGACAAAAGAAGATCTCCCACTCCTGTACACTACTCCAGACAGGGACCTTCTGTAATTTTTATCCACTGCACAACTCTGGGTCATGTCAATAAAGAAAGCAAAAATAATAATTTGTGTAATTCTCCAGCCAGAGTCTGATTATAATTTGGATGAAGCACTGAGAAATATCAGGCTGTTCAGAGGTTATATTTAGCTGAATGGGATTAAATCAAATGAAAGCAGAAAATTTGAAAAGGAGCAAAAAGCTGCAGGGATTCAGTTCATTACCCGTTGCTGGACTCCCGTCCCTAACACCACATGTCCATATTTGAATGGCTAGTATCACAGACTGCTAATTGTCTGGCAACACCTATTTTCTTTAGGAGGTTGACACAGTCTGATGAGTCTGCCAAACTGTTTGAAAATCCCTCATGCAGGGAATGAAAGCCATACTCCAGTGCATGGGATCCCAGAACGGTTATGCTAAAACTGATAAAAGCAAAATTAAAAAAAAAAAGAAAAGGTAAATGGGGAGGCGATGTTTTGTCTGTGGGGCTTTTCCTAGTCCTCACGGAGAAGGTACAACAAAGTCAGCACTATGTGCTATTTCTAGCCTGTAGTTTATGAATAAGGCTTTCTTTCCTGCTCCTAAATCTCCTTCATTTTGCAGTCTGCATGCTAAAGCATCAGCAACCTTGTTCCCTTTTCACTCTGCGTGCAGACTTGGAGTAGGAGATGCAGAACCAAGGCTGCCAAGCAAACAGAAAATTCACACGAATGATGCAAGTCACTGCTTCAGTATTGGGCTGGTGCTTGCTCTTGCTGATGGCCGGGCTGGCTTTCAGATTTGGTTGGCTTACCTTGCGTGTCCCATGCAGGCTGTGCGGGAGGGGGTGCCTGTACACTGCCCAGTTTCCACCTCATCCAGAAGGCTGGTGCTGAATGCCCAAATATTCACGCACGTAAGTATGTGATTATAGAAACGCTGGATTGCGTGTGAGGGGAATTCTGCTACTTTGTTTCTCAGAATTTATATTTTGCCTGCCTTTGTGTAGGATTTCAAAAGCGGTTTGGCTGAATACATGGGGTTTTTTGTTTGTTTTCTCATTGCGTTGATTTTCTTTTCCAAGAGCTATTTTTTTCTTTCAATAAATAACGACAAAGAAGACAGCCAAGGCCTATAATGCAGATGATCAGCAAGGATGATATTGTCATCCTGTGTCAATCGCTTCCCCAGCCTGGTGAAATAAAGAGCCCCTTTACGAACGTCAGCGCTTCATCAAGCCCAATTAGTGGAGATGCTGCTGCTTGTGTTTAAGCATCAACGACTGGGCAGGGCTGCTTTTTGGAGTGCCTGACACTGACATGGAACAAGGCACCGACCTAATTACTCCTCTACAAGAGCAGAAAATGCCTTGTGAATGCCTGCTTGGCAAGGATTTCTCATTAAGGGGAAAAAACCCAACACAAGCACTCCTAGAAACAAAAATTAAAATGATAGGTAACCTGCGGCCATGAGACTTACTTCATAGCTGTGGGAAACGAAGAGAAACTGCCGTTAAGATAGTGTGGGGCATATTTGTACTTTATTTCCTAAACCCATCTACCTTTTGGTCAATAAGGAGTATGAGAGACAGAATGCAAACTTGCATTGTTGAAGAACGGTGAAATACATTGCCACTCTTGGTATCAATGTTCAGTTGTACCTGAAGGGCATTCCCATGTTGGTGTTCGATGGGAGTTTTTTTGTTAGTTTGTTCCTTCAGGGTTTGCAAACTTGCTCAGGAAAAGAGGTGTTTGGTAGACGGGAGTGAAGAGCAGGTAATGAGTAGCTTACCACATGTAGCCTCTCTTTCTGCTTAAATATGATCAAGAAGCAGACTGTGGCTTCCCAGTTCAAGAGTGCTGGTTAGAGACTTTTCAGTCATAATAGTTTTGTTAAAATGAAAACAGAAGAGTGAGAGGAAAAAGCTGCTCAGGTATTTTTTGTCTCCTGAGCAGCTCTGTTCGTTGCTGAGTTTTAGTTGCTTCTGTCCTTTTCACCTTTATTTTCCTTGTCCTCTGAAGAGTTCCAGCAAATATCAGAAATTCAAAGTATGTTGCTTAATTGTGATTTATGAGATAAATCACGTTATTACTTCTTTTCTTTGACTGGATGAGTGCACACTCCTAAATACTGACGTCCATTGTTCATCTAGGGAGTGGGTGCAGCACAAATACTTGCATGTCAGGCTTTGCCCAAAAGGCACATTTTGGGCAAGCTAGCTCTGAAAAACCATTTGCTTGGCAGTACAGGAACGCTTAAGCTTCCTAGGTATAGAGGGATCTAGTGTTTATGCGGATGATGTGTTTCTTGAGATGTGCCCTTTTTTGGTAGTTGCCAACTTATCACAAAATGCTGAGTTGTCTAGCTGGCTTATGGATTGAATACAGCCCTCAGGATGATTATATGGCTGCCACATGATCTTGACATGTGTATTTCTTTGCTCAAGTCTGGCCCTTTTCCTTACTCACTCTTGCTTTGCCTACCTTACTGTACAGAATGGCAGAGAGAAACAAGATGTTCAACCGCTGAACAGAAGAGTACCTGCCACCTGCTAAGGTGTAGGTGGCCTGTAGCAGCACTTCTTAAATGCAGGAAGTTGTTTCATGCTACTTTTTAAATGCTGCAGCCTGAGTTCCTGAGCCTGCCTCTCTACACAGAGGTCCTTTCTTCTCAAAGCCAGGGATACAGGTCTTTTCCTTCTCTAAGTTCAATGGACAGCCCACTCACACAACAGGTCCTAAATTGAGCTATTTCAAACCTTGCTTGCTTTCAAAGCCAATACTGCAATACACTTGCATTTGGATCTGTGTGCAGCAGCAATTGCATCAGTTATGTGTTCCACTGTTAACTCAGTTTCTTACTGTATGTGACTCGCCAGGACACCGTATAATGTAATGTAGAATAGAAGTGCACCAAAAATCAGTTATTTATTCAGTTTTTACACAGTTGTCATTCAGCATTAACTGCTGTTGACTTCAATTGGAGTGTAGCTTCAGAAAGAAATAAATAAAATATGGGAGTCTTCAGAATTTGGCCCTGTATGTTTCCTTCAAAGCAACACTTCTGAACATAATCAAATAGACAGGAGACAGAGAGAGATAGAAAAAGTCAGGGAAATACAACAGGATAATTGCATTGTTGTACTAAAGCTTGTTGTTAAAGGCAGATACCTAGGAATTCCTGGGGCAGAACTCATTAAAAGCTAATTGTCTTATGTAATAACATTTTGTGGTTCTACAGCAGTTATCAGCTCAGGATCTTGGAGCCCTCTGCAGGCTCCACCTTACTCTGGCAGTCCCTTCTGTGAGATGCTTATATTCTGTCTTTTTTCTATAGGCAGGAAAATAGAAACGGTCAGACAAAATGACTTTTCCGCAATTGCCTGTCGGGTCTGAGTTAGAACTGGGGTTAGATCTGAGAACAGTTCATTTTCACTTCATCCTACTTCAGCCATCATACAAATATTCCCTTTTTCCTGCTGCTTTTCCCCCAGTCATCTTGTAGAGAAACATTGCAGTAGAAGGAAATGTGGCACTCAATCACTGATGAAATTATTGTAAAGTGGTTAGAAGGCCCTTTGGAGAGTGCGGTCTTGGATGGTCCACTGTCAAAACAGAATGATATATTGAGTGGGTGTCTGCAGAGATCTCTCTTTTGTTTGGTACTCCTTAGTATTTTCATTCTTGGACTGCAGGATGGAAGACAATATACATGAAAATCTGCAGACCTCTGAAAATTATGAGGCACTGCATATGTTGTGAAGATCGGGAAATATTGGATGCACTTCAGTGGGGCCAAGTGCAAAGCACCAAATTCAGGCTGGACTGATGAAGTAAGCAAGTCCATGATGGGGAGCAACTAAAAAGACAGAAAAAGGGACCTAGACGTTACAGCTTCTCACTAGCTGTAACAGCTAGTCAACAGTGTATGGTTTTTCCAAGACAGTCATGATGTTTCATAAAAAGCAAACAGTTGGAACTTATAAACAGGTATAGCCTGTGAGATACAGGAAGCAATTGTCTGATTACTCTGAGAATTAGTAAAAAGTCTTTTGAAGTTTTGAACACTGTTCTTCAAGGAAGATGTGAACCAAGTGCAGAGAACTCAGAGGATGGCAGTGAAAAAAAGTCATGTGTAGAAAATTTGGCTTACAGAGAAAAGTTAGAAGAAATTGGAGGTAGTGTGTCTGAAAGCAAATAAGACTCTGCAAATACATAAAGGTGGACTGGACTATATGTGTAGTGGACAGGACAAGACAGATCTCAGGTCAAATTCTGCAACAATAATGAAGTAATATACCTGCTGGGAATGCCACATTTCCCTGCACTGTGGGTGAAGGTGGACTAGGTAAACTTTTTGAAGCTCTTGTTGTTGATGATTTGCTATATCCACATGTTAATTTCCACTAGTCGATAGTTAGGTGTACTTTTTGAACAGGTGACTATTTATTTGAAGAGAGTAATCATAAGGATAGTGGACAAGCAAGTCACACTAACTTGCTATGTTTTAATTTGTTTGTCATCAGGTCAAACTGGGAGGAGAAGCCCCAAACTCCAGTGTAATCCACATAGCCAAGGGCAGTGATGGCAGCAGTAGCAGCTGGAAGAGTGTTGGTGGCAAGTGTGGAACCAAATGCCACCTTCTGGATTTTGCCAACTCCGAGCGGCCACTGGTGGTCAACTTTGGTTCAGCTACCTGACCACCATTCACAAGCCAGCTGCCAGCCTTCAGCAAGCTGGTTGAGGAGTTCTCTGGTGTGGCTGACTTCCTGTTGGTCTACATTGATGAGGCTCATCCATCAGATGGCTGGGCTGCCCCTGGAATCTCTCCCTCTTCATTTGAAGTTAAGAAACACAGGAACCAGGAAGACCGATGCGCAGCTGCTCACCAGCTCCTAGAGCGCTTTTCTTTGCCACCTCAGTGCCAAGTGGTGGCTGACTGCATGGACAACAACGCCAACGTGGCCTACGGGGTTTCATTTGAGCGAGTATGCATTGTGCAGAGACAAAAAATTGCCTACCTGGGAGGCAAAGGCCCCTTTTCCTACAGTCTGCAGGAAGTTCGGCTTTGGCTGGAACAAAACTTTAGCAAAAGATGAAATCCATTCTCTACAGAAACTATGTCAACAGATGTGTCCCTTTAAGGTGATGTAAAAGGGAAGAAAAGAAAACATATGCTGGTTTGAATAAGGCCTTTCAGATGATTGCAAGAGAACACATTTGATAACAAGGTCAAATAAACATTAACTAGGAAGAGAAAATAAAACAGAAAACTAACTCTGCAGGAACGTTGTATGAAAAAAATCCTGCTCCTGCACTTGCTCCAGGACTGAAGAGGTGAAGAGGCTTCTGCAGAAAGGTGCTGCTGGTGAGCAGGAAAAGTGGTGAGATAAGACTGTCTCCCACATCCCATCTCATGAAGTGTTGGCCCTGGTGTGAACCAGAAGTGTTGCTGCTTGGAAGGCAATCCATGGAAAGGCAATGCAGTGCATTTAATGAGAAACCCTTCTTTCACCTCCTGTGGCCAATGCAAGCAAGCTGGGAGAAGTCAGGGGGTTGCAATTGCTTTGCATAGAAATGCAGTGGAGTGCGGCAATTGTCCTCTCTAGAGATGTTATTGTTCAGAGGCTACAGAAACCACCATGCAATGCATCATGCAGGCAGACTGGCTGCTCAGATCAAGATGAAACATTGTATTCTGGTATTTGTACTCTTTATGGACACTTCTACACAAGTTATTAACTACATAATTCTATGTTTGTATCCAGTATGCAGAACTGTACCTGCTGAGAAAGATGCTAAAATCTATGGAGTTGGACCCAAAAGACAAAGGTGATCAAATAAGACCATTGCAATTTGAAAGCTAAAAACCCTGGACTATTTTAACAAAACAGCGAGAACCATCTTGAGTGTGCCTCACGAGACAAAACTCAGCTGATGCCAACCAACCCTTGGTTCTCAGAGCTGACAATACACATTTGTCAATATTCTCTTCTCCGTCTCTTTACCCCTCTCAATCTCTTTTTGTCTAGCAGTAGGCTTAAGGGTAAATTCATTCTGAGCTTTTTTAGAAATAACTTATTTCTCTCTTTTATTTTTATTTGAGAAAATGAGCTTACAGATGTATTTTGGGGATGGGGGAACTTATACACAACTTTACCTCATTGAAATGGAAACCTATCCTGTCATTTATCCTGTTAAATGTGGCCATGCTGATTTTTGCTTGGATACCTGCAACTAGTTTATATCTAGGTTAGTTTGGCTGGAAGATAAGTTGTTTGCAGCATCAGAAGTGATTAGCTGCAGTTCTGCTATCAGATGAGGTGATTGTTTGTTTCACTCGTGTTCTCAAAAGCCTTCCCAGAGAAACAGGGAGGGAAAACAGTGTGAATTAATGTGAGTAACTGTAAAAGATGGCAGAATTTTCATCCAAATGGGTTTGAGAGAATTATGAATTCTTTTTAAATAGATACTGTCAACTTAGAGTATACGTTAAGTTTAGGTATTTCTAAACCTAGAATGATTTAATCAAGTCTGATGAAAAAGCACGTTTACAATGAGCTAACCCATTAGAGCTGATAAGCGAAAACCCATAAGGAGGTGGATTATCCAAGTTTTCTCTCAACTTTGGCAGAAACATGAAACAGATAAACAGGCTAAATGGCAAAAATCAAATTAGTTTTTTTAATTTCTCATCCTGACAGTTCTCAGGAATATGATATATTAATACTAGTGCAGGAAAGAACAGAAAATACATACATAAATATTTTCATTTTCACAATGTCCTTTTAATATTGTGTATTTCTTCTTGCTTGGCTGTTGGTCAACTTAGCCAATGTATGAGGCATTTGGAAATATGTTTTCAAGCACAGATCTGAAATAATGACAGTAACTTGAGTGATTTCTCCCCTATTCAGATTCAGGCTTCCCTTCCTTCTCACATGTTCGCGCACACACTGTTAAACATATATATACACACACAGTTACACAGTTTTGTAATCTGTATCACAGAAGGGTGTAAAGAATGGTCTTCAGACCTTCTGTGAGCCCTACTTCTCAGAAGGCATAAGTCTGTCTGTGTGTGTGTATACATGTAGGTATGCATTTATGTATGCATATATATGTATATCATGTATTTTTATGTATGTATATACATATGCTTGCACACGTAAGTGGTCTCTAAGTCCAGTATTAATAATTATTCTGTCCTCCCATTCATTAATGTTAGTGTAACTCATTGCTCAGCATGGAAGATTGTTAAACATTTTCATGACTAACTGGGATATATAATGGAAATTTTTAAACCTAATACCACAGAAACATTAACATAGCCAAACTATGTGCTTTTTTTAAACCAGTGTCCTACCTCTGACTGTATCAGATACTTCAGGGGAAGGTGCAATAATTTCTTCTGGAATTCTCATTCGCTTCAGCCCTTACTATTTTTGTCTTGTCTAATGCGATTGTTGGTGTCTCATCAACCCTATGAGAGGCTGATCCTGAGTTTTGAGATCTAAATATGTCTTGAGGTGGGGAATACTAAAGTAAAAAAACGTAATGTTTAAGAACAAAGAAAAACAAATAAAGCCAATTTTTTTTTCTTATTTAATTCGGCTGCTTTTCAATGTCAGTGATTTTATACTCTGTATAGAAATTTACATACCTTTTGTTTGTTTCTTAAGCCAAACAATAATCACATTCTTATACAGGTCCATATTCTTTGTCTGTCTCTGAATATCTTGTTTTGCTATACTGTCCTTTCACTCCAGTGCGTAAAGCCGTAGACGTTACTCGTCCAAGTGAAAATATGTATTGGTATACGCAGCACAACATATTTTCCTTATTATATCCTATTCTTCAATCATCTGAAACTTTATTAATCCATATCAACACCATAGCCTTTGTAAAACTTAAACTAGTAGTCTTTTCTTTCTCTCTTCTTTTCCCCATCATACAGTTGAAGTCTGAACTGTTTATCCAGGAAATGCTAGCCAAATGTTTAGCACAGCTGTTGAAACATACCTTTAGCTTGGAGGAGAGAGTCTGAGCTAGTAATGCAGTTAGTTAGTACCCTTTTGCAAACCTAAAGTTACAGTTATTTTTCTATGTCCATTTTCTCGTTCCTTTTGAATTTCCATTATTTTGTCTTGTTATTCATAGATGCCTATTCATCACACAGTATAAAGGAATTATAAAATTGGTTCCTGTAAATGGGAAATCCAGAAGGATTTTCCACAAGAAAAAATACACAATAACTTCATTTCTTTCTTGGCAACATGAATGCATTACCCTGCCCAAAACTTAAAGATAGTTCAGCCTCACTGGTTATCAAGACAGAAATACATTTTGCAAATCCTTTAATTTCCCCAGAAAATTTGTGGTCAGAAAGCAAGGGAAGTATTTCAAGGAGAAATGGGCTTAGAGGAAAAAAATATCTTTTGTAAGTGGCTGGTAGAAATACAAGCTCCTAAATTTTTTGTGGACAAATTTAAAACATTTTATAGAAATGGTTTTAAATTAAGCTACATGCATTGTCCTCAGTTAATGATAGAAGTGGCTGTATATCAGATAGATACCCTAAATTATTGTAACAGTGGGTTGTATTTGGTCCAGATAGAAATTTTGCTAACTTGCTAGCATCGTTCTTCACAATTGGTCTAGTCTGCTGTGAGGCTGGATTTGCTTTTGTCTCTTATTGTCACTGTTTGAGGGCACTAAACCATATTACTCGAGGTGCTTCAGTGTGACACACATATTGAGCACTAGCTCATAAAATATGTGCCTGAAAGTATTCTGGAAGGCTACTGTATATGATAGAGACCCCAATACTATGTCTCAACATCAATATGGGAAACTTCCAGTACTTTTTCATGTTGAGCAAGGTAAAAAGCTATTCTGGGCTGTCATTCTACATTGTCCTGTGCTTAGCATCATTATTTAGCACTGTATAAAATGAATGTAAAAAAATTGTACAGATGAAAACGATAGCACTTTGCTCTTGCTTGTGTAGACAATGACATAAATTTAAGGCAGCAGGAAACATGCCCTATTGAAAAGAAAGAAATATTACAAAATATATTGTTAAACAGCTGTCTGAACATTTTGAAAAACATAATGCGATAATTTTTACGAAGTTGATCTTGATGGGGTAACTCATGAAGCTTCTCAAAAAGGTATCAGTACAACGTGAAGGTGTGTGAAGGGAGGTTATGTTTCTGTATGTGTGAAAGTGGCTTTTCTGTGATGCAGAGTGTAGGCTTAAGAGTTTTTAAGACTTCATTCAGTACTATAACCAAAGCAATAAGAGGTATCAGGTAGGGAATATTGGCCAGTTTTGTTCAACTCTACACCATGTCTCTGCTGAATCCATATTCAGTGACCTTTGGGCCCAATTTGGAGACTTCAGAGGAGAAAGACTGGGGTGAGACAGTGAAGGCTTGTGTGCTTATGAAGATCGCTAACGAAAGAGTTAACTCAGTTGGCGTTCAGATGCCCTCACACTGGCATTCCTCTGTGCACCTTAGTGTTTCCGTATTTGAAAGAGGATTTTCTTTGGGGCCATTGGTAAGATCGCTGGGGTGTAGATACCTGTGTGTACTGACTATGTGTGTGTCATTGTTTAAATGTCAAAAATACACTTTGTAGGAGAGCCAGCAAAATTTTGTTACAATATGGTGCTCCATGAAATGTGCTTTCTAGATTAGTTTTTTTCTTGTATTATAATAAACAACTAAGGAAAATATACCTCTTCTGTGTCTTCTTATTCTAATATTGTTTATTAATATGCGGCGGAATCTTGACATTACACCAAGGAAACTTAAAATCATATTTAATACAGTAGCCTACGCCACCTTGACTAGATCTTAAGCAATACGAGCAAACCACTTTACAAATGATAGGACTAAGTTAATATCTGACTACTCAACTTTTAAGAAAGATAAGGGGGAGAGAAACTGATAGTTACAAGGTGTGCAGTTGGGTCTGCACAGAACTGCACTGTTCAAAAAAAGTATGTACTTGAAGAAAGCATGCCGAGCTGTACATAGCACGTGAAACCTGGACAAATTGGTGGTGAATGCATGTGAATACATGCAGCTCCCATTTCAATTAATGAATTCCAACGAATATGCAAAAGGCAAAAGCT